AGTTTGTGCTGATGTCGTTCAGAAGAACGATGGAAGCTCCACGACCAAACCATCCGGCTTAGAGAACAAAACTTCATCAAAGATGATATATGGATTTTCACCATCAATTATTTGTTAATGCCACTTCCTAGAACTCTTTCAGCTCCTTTATAGGCTTTAAGAAAGTAAAAGCAATAATCGTAGCAGAATAATGTGAATTCACTTGTTTTGTGAATTCTTTTTAACCACTTATAACCTAGAAATTTTATATTGGTCATTTCAAAAAAGAAAACAGATAAAGAAACTCCTGTCACGCCTACATAAATGATTAACAATTAAAGTAGATGGAACGAATGTAAGGTAGAGGGGACGTGAAGGCCTACTTTTGACTGTTTTAACGAGCAATTTGTTTAGAATAAAGTAAATTCTTTAGGAAATATAACTCCCCCCGTAAATTATTTTTAAGAAAATAATATTTTTCTCGAGCATATCACACCGTATCCCCTTGATTTTATCTCTCGCAAATAATAAACTGATCGACAACCGTTACCACGCAAACATTATTCAATTATGGTTATCTCTTCCTTTATCTTTCAGTACGAATAAAGTTCGTGAATATTTTATTTATTTATTTGAACACATAAATATTGGTACAAGAGGGCACCAAATATATATGTGAATACAGTTTAATAATTTCCCTACCAAAACTATTTTGTAACTTATCAGATGGGAACTGTTCAAATTTAGATGACGCTCAACCTGAGTCTTCCCAATAAATACACCTTCGGATCTTGTTATTTATAATATGTCTAGTGCTGATAAATAAAATACAAAACCTCTTAGCATATTCACGTTTCATTAGTAAGTACAAATATGCAAAAAGTATGTTTCTGACTACTGACGGTAATAGATACGTTACTGATATATATGAAGTACTTTGCTGTGTCATCACTTATAATCATCAGTTTGTTTTATGTATCTTGATCATAAAAATGTCTCCGACAATTAGGGTTAACAATAACTCCATATTAACTTAATTCACTAGGCCAATTATAAACTATCTTTAAACTAAAACTACTGTTTTGGTATACATCATTAAGAGTGACTTGAATCAATGTGTTCGTGCATTATCTGTATAATTATATCATGTGGAATAGTACTAAACACAGAAGACATCTAAAAAACCGTGAATTTATTATAACAAATGACAAACTTCTAGACCAACTTGAATCTAACTGTCTACATTTCAAGTTTTAACCCTTACACAATACAACGTGATCTTCATTCAAACTAGTGTCAATAAACTACTGTTTCATTGATGCCACTGTGCTACTTCACAAAAGAATTTTATAACATCGATCTTAAATAAATTACAAAATAAACGTAAGGTTGTCACTGAGATCAAACGAAGTATATTTTTTTGAAAATTTGTGTTAACGATTATGATTATTTGATTACAATTAACCCGTGTTGTAAACTGAAATATCTGTATGATTATCGAGAACCATTTGAAAATACTACAAATTAAGATCTATAAATTATAGGTTATCACATATTGATTCCGAAATTCAGAAAACATTTGTGTTTTGTTATAACGCGCTAGATGATAGTTACCGGTGGTAAAGTTTCACTCTTGCTACAAATGACTTTTAATAGTAATCTTAATTTTTTAAATTCAATACTGTAACATATTTTTCGTAAGGGTAACAGTTCAAGTGAACTCCAAAAGTTAGCTTTCGTTGCATTTAGGTTACTTTTTGCTGTAAAACGATACAGTTACCAAGTGTACAATCTTATGGATAAAACTCACATCATTAAAAACGAAATAAATAAACTCGTTTTGTATTGGTTGCTTGGATCCTTCCATTGATGTTTAGGACTACAATTGGTCAGCCTCTTACTAGCATATGTAAATCCTGTACGAACTGCCTCGATATTGTTTTAAGTCACAAGCATTATAAGCAAAGATGGATGGTGGCTAGCAGTGGAATCCAGGATGTGCGTCTCGTCTTGTTTGGGACTCGTCAACTGGTTGTACCTGCACCTCAGAGTTTATGTTCACTCCGGGACTCAAATCCAGTACCGTTCGCTTCAAACGCCATAGCGTTATCCACTTAGCTACTGTCCTGATAGCCACTAGCTTGTACAATAAGGTGAAGAAATAAACTTTTCATACAAATTATTTTGGTTAACATTTCCTATTAACGAATAAACTAAAGAAATATAAAAAAAACTCGATTTACATTAGCTATCATTTTTTTGAGAATGAAAGTGAAAAATGTTACAATGTATAAATTATTACTTAAATATATTCATGAAGGAATTGCTTAATTTTATAACTGTGTTATTAGCATACATACAGATTTTCATTATTACATCTTAATCCAGAGTTTATTCTTTAAAAATGGTTATAAAATACTCGATATGAGTTTATAAGACTGGAAAATTGTACACTCATCAAGAATACAGAAAAATACAAGTAGGTACACTATGATGGTTGAAAACATTTTCTTACTGATCTATTCTTTGAAGAACTGAGAGGGATTAACTTCAAAATCTATGCATCAAATATGCTGTTGTAAAAAGATTATTACTGCTGAGGGAAAAGTCTAGAAGCTCACCGGACGAAGATAAGTGACACCTAATCACTGTCGGATATAAAAACTATTTAATTCCCGAACAATCTATTGAAATATAATCGTGATTTATAGGTTACATGAAATGTAATCATCTCAGTAGATGATGTCATAGTTAAATTATTCGTAAATGGTTAGAACAATCTGTTTAGTTGACACCTCATATATATATGCCCTTGACCATGATGATATCTGTGAGACGATAACAGTGAAATATATCTCCCCCTCGATATATCCAATAGTTTAAACATCCTTATTAAACAACAAAAATGTTTTCTTGTCAAATTGTTTTGTCAACGCCACTGTTACTTGGGCTGCTTTATCCAATTAAGATGGATTTATCATGTTAATAAAATGAAAATAGGTTATTTGATGTAAAGCACTTAGCCCGTTTTATAACTAATTTTAATAAAACAATGAGATCAACTATCCTCTCACTGTTCTGTTATGGTTTGATATAATCCAAAACATAATTATTGTTCTCTAGCACATTAAGAATAAACACCTGAAAGTCATTTGAAATTTCTGCTTAATATCAAAAAGCTAAATAAGTGGGTGAAATAAATTCCTTGCAAGCTGATTTATCTACCCTAGTCATATGACAACAACTCAAATGTATATGCAACTTGTCACCTAAACTTCCATTTACAAAGTTATACTACTTTCAAGTAACTAAAATATATCTATAGATATTTCACCCTTTTAACTCCAATCTGTATTGGAATGTTCGAATACCATAGAATCACACATGTCCACTCCTCTTAAACTATATTTCACTTTTACTCCTGTTTTTCTCTATCAGGATAAACACACAAATATTTTCTTTACCATAAATTATAGGCGTGCTTAAGTTGACGATAAAAATTTTCAGTAAAGTAATTTTTATTACTGCCGTTCTAATGCATCTACAATTACAGAGTTGGTAGGTTCGGAAAACCATTTTATTTAGTAAAATAGCATACTTACTTAAAAAATAGTTGAGACAAAAAACATCAGAAATCGATCAAAATATAAATGACTATGAGTTTAGCAGATCACTACTTATCAGCCCATGAAATTGAAACTTAACTGTCAAACCGAATATTCTTGCCGTTATATCACCATTTTTATCACTAGATGACAACTAGTTGTTCGGTTGCCGTTGTGAATATTCGGATATATTCAACCTCCTCCCCCCAGACTCCACATAAAAAACCCAAAGTTTATTAGGATTACCACTTATATGAATGGCTTCACGGCAAACTAAAGCATGATTTCTTATGGGTCAACACCAAACTTCCAGTCAAAAGACCACTTATCGATAGAAACGAAGTGTGGCATACGTTGTTACATGAGCTGGGAACCATTTCGATCGAGTAGTTGCTATAAGACCACACAAGAACAAGAACACTAATTTTTACTAGTTGATTAATCATATTCACTCACTTTATAAAATTATGAAGGAAATTTTGCTATTTCTGGACGAAAAAGCCATATTGTAGATAATTTATAAGTTAATATTGAGATATATGTCCATTAGAAATCAGGTTTATGTGTTATCAACAAACTTAAAGGCGACAAATGTTATGGGTGAAAAGGAAATACCAATCAAGATTAAGATCAAATATAAAGAGTAGATTAACTAAGTTCGAACCAGATTACATCTCGACAAACTATTATATTGACTTATTTTACATTGCTCAGTAATTCAAAGTCAAATAAACTAAGTCGCTTTACAAATAATTTGTTCGTCACTTAATCTAGAAAACCAATCTACTAATGTCGTACTATTTAAAATGTCGCAGTTTATCGAAATAAATGGTTCAGTAAGTTAGACATTTGATTCCAACCCATAAACATTTTAAGGTACAAGATCAATCCATGAAGAGTTGGAAATATACACGACCTTTAATGATTAACCAGGATAGATACCAACGATCTTTGGACGACTTATGAAGTCAGTTAAAGAACTACGGTTTACTGCTTTGTGAAACTGACTTTAATCACTGAACTCCGAATTTGAAACTGATCCAACGCAATAAATAACGTATACATTGTGGCCATTATCAAAAACTTTACTATTCATTTATTAGTTGATTAGTATTTTACCTCAGTATGCATAGTGAATGAGAAACAAAAACAAATATGGAACTTTTCAATAAATCGATTAGCTAGTAACTTAATATTTCATTTACAGAATAAAGTGAAGAGGTAAACATTAGGAAAACCGTAGTCACTTTTACATTGTCAATGAAATACATTTATATTATGGCAAATTAAACCTATAGAAGAAGTATCTATAAGAAAATAAGTGTGATAACATGAATTACAATGCTGGGCATCTCAAAGTATACTCGAGTACTTATACAATTATTTTTCTACAACTATATTTCAGGCAATTTGTTTTTAACCAGCCGCTACTTTCTTATTAAGAACCTCATCAAGTTTCTCATAGAACAGTTCTTGTGCAAACTTTTGACAGTTTTCAACTGTCCAAATACTATTTCCTCCGGATATGGTCTTGTGCAGTTCTTCTAAACACTGTGCTTTAATATCTGATGCCATTTTCGCATACTGAGTTCTCCACAAACAATCTGAAGTAAATGAAAATTGATAGATCAACGTACCTTTAGATTTAATTGTGTGATTTGTGACCTTTCTCAAGTGAATATCCACATTATGGAGTAAACTGTCTAGATTAATACGCTTGCTTCTGTTTTTCTCCTCATCTTTTACAGAATCTTCACTTATAATCGGTTGGTTCAACAACAGTTTTAAGAAACGAAGCAAACTGACTGGATTATGTCTATTAACAATAGAAGCGATGGGATAAAAAGACAGACATACACATTCTCTTGAAGTGAACTGATTGTGATTGTATGCTTCTCCCATAAATTGTTGACTGGATCGGGCCATTCGAATTTTCTCTCCATCTTATGGATAGTATCATCTGGAACTGGACTTGGCCTAGCGCGATTTCTAAGAATGCAAGTATCTATCGCACATTTACAAGCTATTGACGCATAACTACATGAATCTGGTATAATAAGAAAACACAAGATTACACTTTTTTGCTAAATTGTAGAATGAACGACGCATACTAAAGTAGTAGAAATTGTCGTCTAATAAAACTATGATGTCCTTCGCATCTAGAGTAGAGTATATGTTTATCCTCAACCAAATAACTTTTTCTTTTTCATTCAAATCGTGTATAATGTCGAACCCCTTCCATAAAGCTAGCAGTTTCTCCAAACAACCAACAACAGCTTGACGCCAGTCCTTCCAATCAGAATTCTAGTCTAAATAATCGAAAATAAACTATTTTCATACGTTTGCTTTCAGAGAGAGTATTTGTACTGGAACAAGTTGATCATATTCTAGCCACATAACTGAACAATCATTTGTTTCTAACTGATGCAGACGTTCACACAATGTACTTTTTCCACTTCCCGGAAGACCTAAGACAGTCGTTAGTACCACTTGTTTCATGAGCACAACTGAAATCGAAAAAAATTGGAAGGTTAGCTGAAAATAACGCTTAAATTAATTTACTTGCGGTTAAATGAAAAGTTTGTCCAAAAAGAAAACCACAGAGAATAGAGATTATTAGAAGATCATCGGGAGTCTGACTTATGAGTCAAAGTTCCTAGATGTGCATTAGTGTCACGCATTTCATTGTAGTTACAAAAGTACGCAAAGTCTTTGATGATATTTCAAAATTATCTGCGCAGTAATTTCTGTATGGTAATTTATGGACAGAGATTGTTACCTGGAAATAAATAAAAAATTGAGTCCAATACTTCTAGGATTGTCATCTTTGAATGAGACCATTGATCATATGAAAGTATAAGCTAACAGGGAAATAACCGTTTATGTAGGCGACAGTAGCTATAGGTGTGCACTATTCTATTTTTAGATTGAGGCATACAGCAAGTGTTTACTAAGTTAGAAGTAAACGGGGATTTAAAAGAATGATTTTCTGAAGATAGAAATTGAATAAAAGTTTGTTTTGAAAGTAACCAACAAATTGCATTACATTGAAAGTATCTGAGAGTCTTTAGTATAGATTAAACTTACAATACTAATAGCAAGAAGTGAGGAGGTTTCATGTTCAGTTTTACCAGGTAGAGAGATACTTTCTTTTTGTTTGTAATCACTGATATTTATCGTTTACGTTCACATGGAAGCGAAAAGAATTAAGACCAGATGTAACTTAGATACTGGATAGGTTTACGGAAATAATAGGAAACACTTGTGTGACAGACGTTTGTAGTGGTTTGCGCACAATCTGAAATAGCGGCATCCCTTACGACCCATAGACTGGCTAAGATTTCCAATTTCCACATCTATCGACGTTTTTTGCAGAGGCAAACGAACAATCGATTTGATGAGATTGTTTTTAAATGTGAGATTAAGTGGCAAGCGTTCATCATGACTAGCTAATAAAGGTCGAAGCCATTGGACAGTAATGCCCATAACATATTTATTTCGCAGAAACGAGCAAAATTCGTGAGTCGTAAATGGACTAAGTAGGCGTGACTGGGAATATCTCCGTAGATACTGGCTTCCTTACAAGAAAATATGGGCTTATGATGCCCATCTACTGACTTTGAGCAAGAAAACGAACAATTGTGTTGGATCCCTGTTAGCAAGAGCTTTGATTAATGCATATTCGGGACAGGTCGGAGACCTATATCTAGTCCGCTAGAATATTTCTGTGTAAATTTCATGCACACGCCAAAGTTCTCAATATATCGACTATTGCTATTTGTTTTTGGGATATTTTTTGTTTACTTCTAATTAGCGTTTTGGTTTGAGACTAACCTAATCCGACCTCCATCAGTAATTTGTGTGGTGAAACCTAGTTGACCGTTGGCAATTGCTACATTGTCAGGCCTTGTAGTTGATAGCTTTGAGTTTCTGCAAGTGATGATTTCCTTTGATGAATCATAACATCAGTCTTTTTAATTACATCGATAGATCGATTCTCGTTACGAACTGTAGTTAAGATTTTTTGGCACTGCGTTTACTGTCCGTAATTGACAGGGAAAAAATGGAACACTTGAGTAGAAACTTCTAGGTGATTATTATCGTAAGGCTTTTTCGTGATATCTGTCGAAAAATGTGGAGAATTATGGCATTAAAACGAGGCATTTTAGATTATTTCACCGAAATTGCGGAAAATGTTTGCGGTTTCATAAATAAGTATAGACGGATTCCCCCAAAGTGTAATAAGATTCTGGGAAAATTTAGGGGAAATATTTGGAGAGCCGCTATAGGACATTTTTGAAAAAATGACATTAAAACCCCAAAATTTACTAAGGCGGCTTCGCCGAAATTCTCCCAAAACGGGTCAAATTTTCACAAAAATAGGAAGATTGGGATTACTTTAGCACCACTCAAAGGTCATTCACAAATTATTTTTACCTACGTTATCAAAAATTAATAAACTATACCAACCGAAGCACGCAGAGTCGACTTCTGGTACTCAATATGCGGGAAATAGGCTGTCCATCCGCTCGAAGGCGTACTAGAAAGCTTTGACTAGTGATAGCTAGACTACTAAGACATCAGCAATTATAAAAATCACCGTATATACAGACAAAACATTAAACTTATAATAAGTAAAGTAATGTATGAAAAATTTCTACAAACATAAGTGCCTCGAAGAGCAAATGTCCGGACATAAGCTTAGCGCACAACGTTATCCTTCAAACTAAGCTCGTTCACATCTAATATACAATATTTGTATGATGAACTTGGGAATACCGACTGATTTCTTTAAGCTCACTTTTTGATACTTTAGCATGTTTCTAGGCCTTTGAAGTCCTTCGATGTTTGTCACATAGCCATTCAGCTGCTCTTTTATTTGTAGATGTGATAGTTATTTAGTTTACCTTGGATATAAACGAGTAAGTTTATTCTAGAACATCGGGTTGGCCAGGGCCAGTAACTTTCAGATTATCAGGCAGAGCATTTGGTTTGTCCCGGTCTGAAAAACTTTTCATAAACAATCCGAGCAGACAAGCTATGCCTATAGTGGTGGAAGTAATAATAAGAGTAATGACAGTAGTATTATTAATAATGGTATCAATAATAATGGGGACAATGGTAATGATAATACAAAGATACAAAACACGATTCAGATGTGGCTGCTCCATTAGAAGAACGGCGAGCTGTGAGTAAGTCCTTGGCTATCAACCCTCCTCTTAAAGCTACTTACTGAAGTAGGTGTGATCGCGTCGGCTGTGAGAGTATTCCAGACAGACTTGATCCTAATAAGAAAAAATGTGGTGATATCTATTTTTTCGCTTTCTAATGTGTCGCTTGCCGTGGGTCTACTTCATGAGGTACATTGAAATAACGCGGGTAGGATTTTTAGTTAATTAATCACTTCGTACGCCCTTGTAGCTTGGCAGCAGTAATCCATGTGTGGGGAGTCGGCCTTCAAAGAATTATCCCTTAGTTGTCACATCCTAGTGGCATTTTTTGACACAGGGGTTTCAACTTCTTCAGAACTAACCCAAGAATTTAGTGGATGTTTCTCAGACCATTAGAGGGTTCTAATGTGGAAGGGTGTCTCGAGTTTGTGAGTTCCTAGTTTGAATGAGTGTTGAAATTGTCAATGAAGATTTCTGATATCTCCACCGTTATTTCTTAGAAGCGCATGAGGTGTCTAGTTTGTGGGCTTTAAGAAGTCATATTTAACGTGTTGGGATGACTATATGATTGTATGTTTGTTGCAAGTTGTCTTTGAGATATTGGCTCTCACCACATTTCACGAATTGTTTAAGCAACGTAGTACCCTAAAATATAAAGTTACTTCACGTTGCTCTTTTGAATCACTGATCACATCACTCGCCAAGTTTTTCAGTCACTTATCATGAAAAGAGGAGCCGTGGATAGTATGGAATTTGGTTTTGAAGGTTTTACGTTGGTAAGTGCCGACAGAATCCAGAATCTTAAAGGATGGGGAGTAGCTCTATTCGTTAGGAATACCATCCCATTTGCCTTCATCGACAGCGTATCCCATGAGTATGGGACGTGTGAACTAGTTATTTACAGCTTGAAATGAAAGGGACAAGAGCTACTGATTGGTTCAGTCTGCCTCAGTCGAAGCTGTAAGATAAGTGAGGTCTTGCAAAACAATCTCAGTACTTGGTCACAAAGTGGTCGATGTTTAGTCCTAAGAGACTTTAATACACCCACGTTAGACTGGAAAAATCTGAGGACGCAAGCATGGCCGAGCCATGCCATTTGATCAACTTCAACTCATTCAACTCCTTCTTCCCGCCTTCTCCATCGTTAGGTATTTCTCCGCGGAAAATATTGAATATCTATTTTCCGAGCAATCTCGTATTCAGCTTTGAAGATTGTGTGGTTATTGTCCAATGCCACTACATAGTCAATCAAATTTTTTGGAGAACTCATGAGATCAGAGTGAACACGGTCAAAACGATCATCTTTTGATACGGGCTTGATATGTCTTCCTTAAATATTTTCGACAAGCTAAATTGAAATGAGCCTATCCATATACCCCACCTTTCATTAAAGGTCGGGAAAACCTCTGAGTAAGGGATATAAAATATATAAACAGGCTTTCTTTAGCATTCTTTTGTATTTTGAAAAACAGTATGGACAACTAATAACTTCGTCTCTATATATGCTTAGTTAGTTTTAGCTTCACAAGTTCTCCTTGCGTAGAGTGTTCTAAATGGGTTACTAGTTAGTCATAATACTGGATACTGTTCACGAATGTAACCATCAAAATTATACGCACCACAGCATCTAATTTTAGTAAACTTTCAGGAAAGAACAGACTATAAACACTTTAAAAAGGGGAACGATTTGCAGGGATCGACTAATCGAGGCTTTATGTGTGGAGTGATATCGAAACCACAACCTACTTGTGCAATAAGTTGTACGGAAAACATTACATGATCCTGACAAAAGATTAGGTGACCAATTGATCGGAAGATGGGAACAAGTTAGCACAACAGCGTTATCAAAAGTTTGAGAGACGTTCTGCTGCATCAAGGTTTTTGGTGCATACTCGAAGGTTGGTATGGAACCATTCATTATTTTCTGTTCACTGGGATCGTTTTCATCCTAATGTAGTGAGTAGTAGAAGTACTGACCATGCGAAAAAGGATAATCGTGAAGGGAAAGCGTAGCTCTTTGTGAGGTATCAACGTCAGTAAAAAAGGGAGCGCTCAGTAACACTGTCATCCAAGACCTCTTCTTACACAAGAACCCTAAAAGTTATTTCAGTCAAAGTCAACAATGAAACGATGAAGGGAGATATTTGGATAATAATAGTTGTGTCAAAGTTTATGTAGTATTATTTGGCTAGTTGTTGTATGAGATATGCAGTACGGCGTGTCTATATGTGGTCTGGTGTGATCACTTAACCAAGCGCCTTTAATCAGGGTTGTCACAGTAGAACTAAGGAGGTCAGCATCAATGTGAATGAATTATGAAACTTTGTTCCAGGAATTTAGTTACCATCACACCCCTCTCGAAAAGCAAGAAAATGAAATATTTGCCACCCAAGCATCATTGTTTACAACGAGATATACATCGAGGCAGAAGTACAAGATAAGGTATAATCACGTAAATCACATTTTTTATCTCAGAGTTCTTTCTGCCTATTGAAAAACAAACTATGGTTAATTGTTATGATTCTGAAGTGGAAGTTCAACCACATCCACAATCTCTGCAAGACGAAGAAGCCGTGGTGATGTGATTAGAAACATGACATTCGAAATACTACATTCTTAGCTTCCATCTTCTGGATTTCCTCTGAGGAAGATTCAATCTGTCTGCACACATATACCGATTTTCTATTCCATCTACTTAACCGAAGTTCAGATCTTTCTTGAACTCCACAATAGCATTCATGATGTTTTAAGTTGTCTAATGGTATTCCTTAATAAGTGTCTTCACAAG